CCCCAAAACCCCAAAACCCCAAAACCCCAAAACCCCAAAACCCCATGAGTAAATATAAACTTTAAAGCTTGAATTATTTAATTAATTAAAAATTTGAGTTATATTCTTCTTGAGATTTGTAGAGACTCATTCTTGGATTTCACCAGGCTCAGCCTCTTCAAATGACTTTTTCACTGCTTTAACATCTCCCTAAGAAGTGATAGGAACGGCTCCATTTGGCTTGACTTAATCATGAGGACCTCCGTTCTCAGCTCTATCTTTGCTCGATTCCTTCTCTTTATCCTTTCTATCCTTCTTTTCCTTTTTATCCTTTTTTTTCTTGTCTCCTTTATCAGTCTTTTTGTCCTTTTTGTCCTTCTTCTTTTTATCTCTTTTGTCTTTCTTATCAGATCGATCTCTATCTCTGTCTCTCTCCCTCTCTCTGTCTCTATCACCATCTCTTCTTGGTGTTGGATCTTGGTCCTTACTCCTATTGTCTCTATGATGATGTCTTTCTCTTGATTCTCTTGACCTTGATCTGTGCTTTCTTTACGGAGGGACGCTTAAATCTTAATTTTCTCCTTTTATATGCTTTTTCTCCTCATCTTGTCTAGCAATTGGTTCAGATTTGATATTCTAGCCATTGGTAGTAGATGGTGTCTCCTCTTGCTTTAAGGTGAGCTTATCACTATTATGATTGGTATTGGTACTCTTATTCTTGTCTTAACTTCTAGATCTGCTTCTCAATTATGGAAGAGTCTTTTTGAGTTCTCTGATTTACCTCTCTGTTTCCCTATCTCTTCTTTTATCGCCTTTTCCTCCTCCAAGCCTTCTGGGAATCCAATCAGTTTTTGTTCTACCTCTTTCATAATCAACAACCACTCTAGCTCCATCCACCTTTCTACCATTTCCTCGTTCAAGAGCCACTAAAAAACATTAATTATATAGTTATTTATTACATTAAAAATCTCTTTCATTTTCGTATTCAATGAAGGCATATCCTTTTGGCTTACCACTTTTCTGATCAACAATAATCCTTATTCTTTTTATTCTGCCAAATGGTTCAAATTCTTTTCTGAGAGTTGATTCATCAGTTTTATAGGACTATAAAATATTTAACAAGTAAATCATACCAATCTGGAGACAACTATTGTTTTGAAAGGATCCCCTTTGATTGTTGGGTCTTTATATGGATTCCCTAAAAAAGAGTTTTATCAATAAATCGCACTTTTAAATTAAGCTAAGGCTCTCATTCAGTCCTTGAGAACAAGGAAGCCTTATACTTAGCCTTCTTTTTTCAAAGGTTTTTCAGGATTATTTATTTCAAACACAGACCCCTCACACTTATCGATGAACATTTTTATAAGAAGCTTAGATGATTTCACATAGACTCACTTACCGGAATATATACTTACATTATTTTAATTCTTGATTCTATTGTACCAAATGATTAACTAGTTTTTCTCTCTTAATTCTCTCCTTTTTAACCTCCAACTTTTCGATTTCCTGTTTTTTAGGAGGCTCACCATCTTCAAACATAGCGAAGTAATCTCTATGCTTGTCAAAGTATCCAGTATAGGGCTTGCATTTTCCTTTTTCGTTGTGAGGCGCAAACTCAAGTGGTGGTCTAAAATATGATTTAATTAGATATATGAGGATTTTTACCTTGCTCTGAAGAGAATGCTCAAATGGTGAGGCATATCCTGCTTGGCGACAAAACCGAGAGTGGAGGGTTAAAGCACTAAAGTTGGGTTCGATTACTTAGACTAATATTTACATGAAGTTCTGCTCATTTTTATCTTTTATTATTATTTGTAATTTTCACTTAATTTCTATGCTATTATATGTAGGGGTTTTGGGGTTTTGGGGTTTTGGGG